AATGATACCTTAAATTAACTGTTTAAAGACTTTATTCAGAAAACACTCCCTGAGTCTGTGCAGGACAGAAGATCTGTGCTCTTTCTGTACACCAGTGCTTTGGTGCTGCATTAACACACATGATCATTTTGATTATAATTACCTGACAACTTCATTTTAAGAGAATTTCAGTCTTTCCCTATACAAGTGTAACATCATATACATACTGTATCTGTGCATATCTAATGTTTGATCTGGACCACAGTTCGCTTGCGCATTCATACCACCCGGACCAAAGGAGTAAGGGGACCATGGTCCTTTTAGAATGAACCTAACAGTCCTGGTATGAATGCACCCTTAGTCTGCCGCCTCTGTTCAAGGATGGTTTCTCCAGCTTGACAAAGATGGCCTCCATTACACCTCTTTCAAACCAGCGATCCTTCAACAAAGACATGGATAAACAAGACCTGTATGATTGAGAACCTTCACAGACATTGTATCTGTGCAAAGTTTCTAAATACCTATCTTTACAATATTTCCCCAGAAAGTTGTACCTGTTTTGGGTTTGTTGGCATGAACTGTTGACTCTGGTTTTGCAACATATGCAGCATTTGGAAGCTTTGAAGCATCCAGAAAATGTGCACAGAGTACAGGCTGGAAGCTCCATCTGTATCTAATCTGACAGAAGATTATTCGGGTGAATAAGCAGACTAGCATCTCCTGTACCTTACAATGACTCCTTAAAGACAAAATAAATAAATTAAAAAAATAAATAAAAATAAAAACCTCACTTTGAGATTATGCACTGAATTCAGGACACATACTCCAAAGTTGAGCTTCTCTAATGTTTTTTTTTTTTTTTTTTTTTTTACAGTATAATGACCTGACACAGTTGTGATAGAGCTGGAAAGTTACTGTCCTTGGATAATCTCATACATCGCCATGTGAAGATTTTAATGAGCTGATAGCATAATGATTAAAGAGACCTTGAATGTTGGTGATTCCGTTTATAGCATATTGTGCGTAGAAGAGTTTTCTCGCAGGCATCGGGGGAATTTTTTTTTTAAACTAATCAATGTTTTTTGTTATTCTAGATCACACATCAACATGGTTTTGTGTTGACTGCACAAAGTCGTTACCTATCTCCTCAAACCCATAATCGTGCCTCTGTAAACTTGCATCAAAAGCTGAGGCTTTATGGAGGAAACGACAGGTCCCAGTCACGCTTTTACCAGATAATTGACTTTACTGTGCAGTGAAATAGACTTTTGCTTCTGTGCAGCAACATCAGAGTGAAAAAATCAAAGTCATACAGTAGGAATGTGCTCTGCATGTAGATATGTTTGTCTGTCAGTCTACTCCCGGCCTGCGTGTTAAGAAGTTCTTTTAGATTGTATATCTAGATTCTTCACAGGAAGTTATGTGTTTATCATTGGCAAGCGGAAACGCAGGAGCCCACTCAGCCGCTCCTATTCTGCAGATATCTTTGTGGGAAATTCTGACAGCTTCTGTGGGTGAAGGATTAAGATGAATGTTGATTCTGGAGGCAGTTTTTTTTTCTCTCTCTTGCCTGTTGTGTTTACAGTCTTGTACAGTTTTGTATCTTATCACTGTATTTGAATCTGGCCTTCCTGTGCTCCTCTGTTGTCTGTCTTTACCTCCTGAGCTGTGAAAACTCCTGAAACATCTGTGTGGTTGGCGCAAAAATACAGCAGTAGAACTGAAGATAAAACTGGGTTACACTTTACATGAACTCACTGATACAGATACAGTTCACATGCACTGAGCATGTGCGCGCACACACACACACACAATGTGGCTGTTTTACGTCATTAGCTTTCTGCAGGTCTACAAATATAGTCTGATAAACTGTGAAGCCGTTGACTAATTTTGAAAAAATTATCAGACAGAAGGAAGGAGAGGAGGAGAGATCTGTAGCACTGCATAAATATGCATTTTTCAAGTGAATATTTACGCTTACACTGTGTACTGCTGTGTGACAAACACTCAAAAACTCTCACCAAGCTGGTTAATGTGTGAACATGTCCTTTAAAAACATCATCCAATTAGTGGCTCATTTGACGTCAACATCAAATAATTCAGTAAAAGCTGAACACATGAAATGTTGCCCTTAATTAAACATAATTGCAAGATGTTTCAAGAAGTTTTATCCTCAATCATTCAATGTTTCCAAATTTTCTGTTTTGAGGAGTATGAAAACAGAAAGTGTTCTTATTGAACAAATAACAAAATTAATAGATGCTTTCTGATCAAAAGCACCCAGAACTTTTAGTCCCAGGAACTTCTCAATAAGGGACTAAATGGTTCCTGTTGCCCACTGTTGTCTGTGTTCCCACCCGGGGCCTGAAGTTCAAGGTAAATGTAGCAAATAAAGCTGAAGACATCCAGGGCTGGTTTTTGGAAATGAAGTCACTTGCACAGCTCTTTGTTGGAGTCTCCGCTGAACTTTTTTTCCCAATAAAATCACAAGTAATCATATTGACTGCATTAAGTGAAATAATATCAGGTTTCTGGAAATATTCACCCTTTGGTGCCTCTACCGGTTTAACTTTCTCTCTGCTCAGCTGGCGTCTGTGTAAATTGTAAAACACCTCTTGTAACAAGATTTTTTACAGACGAGACAAAACCAAGAAACTGTCATAACACCCAAAAGCATACCTGAGATGGAAAAATATACAGAGACAGGGTCAAAACTCATGTGTGTACATAGTTTGACTGTTTAGATAACAGTAGAATATAATATATAGCCTGTGCATATGTACAACTACCAGTATTTTTTATGTAAATAATTGTCTGTTTTTGAACGTACATGAAATGCCTCCCAAAGTCCCTGGGCCATTAAATAATAGAGAAAAGTTTCTGCGGTGGAAAAGCACCTTAATACAGTCCAAAGACACAAATGCATTACAATAAAAACATGGTTTTAATAAGAATGAGATTGTGTATAGTGAGCAGGTGGTTGTGCAAATCACATTCCTGACAGGCTGAGCAAAACCCCTCTGTTTCATGCCAGGGTCGTGCTGACTTTCACAAGTTTAATTTTGTGTAGCTGCCTGTTCACTGAACATAATCAGACTATATACACACACACACACACACACACACACACACACACACACACACACACACACACACACACACACACACACACACACACACACACACACACACACACACACAAGCTGACATAAAATATTGATTTCAAGATGATCTTTTCAAATAAAGCTCCTGTAAGGAACTCTTAACCACTGTTGTTGGGTTTTGGCCTATCAGGATCAAGTATCTAGTGAGCTGTACAGCTGTACTGTTGTCACTCCTTTATAAATGCACAATAAATTGGAGCCTGAGGCATTTGTGGTCATCAAAGAGCTCCTGTATGACCCAGACCCTTTTTTCTTCCACAACTTAACCATGATCGTTGCCTTCTGAACCACATTATTCTAACTAGTTGATAAAATATTTTGATTTGTTTTGATGGCATAGTTTATTAGGCCATTCTGATACCTTTTACAACCCTGTAAACTGCTCTGTTATCAGGTTGTTAAGGTTTTCACACTCAGTACAGCCCGTATGATAAAACAAAGTTCATCTTACACTGTGATGGCACATCATCAGTGGCTTCACTTTAAAGAATTCATTTGAAAACTTTATGGTGTTCTTCAAGGAACCAATGTAGACATTGACCCTAAAAAGAGAGACGGAACAGAACTATAGGCCATCTTGTCCAGTTCAGGAGAGATATGATCCAAATATGTACGCACATATTTAGGCTGTGACATCTGTACGAACAGAAAAAAAAAAAAAGCTACTATATTTATATTTGATGTTAAACAACGGCAAACAGACATAAAGCCAACACCAACTGCAATGCAGTGCAAGCGTAATAGTGTTATAGCACTAATGGAGTGACAAGAAAATGCCACCAGAGATGCCAGTACAAGAGAACCTCATACACATACAGTTGTCATTAATCCCGTCTGTTGATAATGCACAAAAGCAAAACTTTAACTTAACCATAAATGAAAATGTGATGGACTTAAAGTTGTAAAACACAAGATAGAGGTAAGATTGAGGATGGATAGGATAGACACATTTTGCCTCTGCCATTTATATAAGAGTATTGAAAATTTGACCGTTTCTCTTTAAATTACATTTACTGCAATAAAAAAGTGTGATTTGTTTGTAATTAATCACAAGATATCTACGACAATCACATGTCACACTTGGACCTTAAAGAGAGGATTATTCTGCACAGCTGCTTTTCGTTACCCCTTGTTAATTCAATTCTTCTATTTGATTTATAAACTTAACATTCTTGTCGTTTCCATCAGACATGTATGTATACTTGCACATTGAAGTAAAATAATAAAAATGAGGTTCCTGCTAATAAAAAGATAGGTTGAAGCGTCACTTTTTATTTTTGTCCCGTACATTAAGTCAAACTGTTCTTCTGATCTGATAAACTCAGGGAGGTCAGTGTCCACGTAGAGCAGCGTGGGAGGATCACGACTTTAATTGGACTCACAAAGTCTGAGGAGTACAGAGCACACAGTTACTGGTCCTATTAGGGATCTAAATACTCTGTTGTTGCCCCAGGCTTCAAATATTTATATATAATCTATATTTAACATAAACTTCCTCCTAGACAACAGATGATACTTAATTTAGACAATTTCATATTTTTTAAAAGTCTCTCGATGGGTTGAAAAGCTGTCCTGAAAAGAAAGTATTCCTCTGATTTTACTGCTGATGGACTTTGCCTGATCTTCCATGTTCAAAGGAGAATCAGATATGGAAGACAATCGTATTTGCGCACAGGGAGTCAGTAACTCCTCAGATCACCGACCGTCCTGTGATAAGTGAGCTGATAATCAAATATCTTTATCAATACGACTTAACAGTAACCACAAACAGCTTTGACTTCTGACTGTACATATCAGAACTGTGTTATCTGCACAGAAGTGATGCAACTGAAACACAACAAGCTTCAACAAGGCGACTTAAAAATATCAATTTCTTTATTTACAAATATTTTAGAGTCTTAAATACTGCAGGATAACAAATATTCAAATGCTACATTACATTTTTGAAATTTAAAAGTTTAAAATTCAAATAAAATAAGACCAAACGTCTCTTACACACTTCATATAAAATACAAAAAATGAATTGGGAGCCACTTGTAGGTGAAGTTTGAGTAAGAACACATTAAAAACATTACATTACAGAAACAGCAGGTTGATAAAAACATGTTCAACACTTGTGTTCATGTTCTCCAGCAGGAAAGTTTAACAGAAAGTGCTTATCCGACAAATCATCAACACACCAGGACCCGAGCAGTGATGAACAATTACCAGTGTTTCCCTCAAACAGTACTGCATTGACTTTGTTTTAATTTAACTTAATAATCTTACAAACGTGTGGCTTTGGCAACCTTCAGTTCATCATCCGGTGTCAGAGTAGGATTGTCGTACATCTGCAGGTTCCTTTTGCCATGGCCTGTCAGCTCCTCCTCATCCTGCTGTCTGCAGCACTTGGAGCATCGGCAGCAGCAGCAGCAGCGCCTCCTGCAGAAGCCCAAACCTGAGGTCACAACAGAGTCCCAGGGTTTCATGGAGTGCAAAGGTCTGGGCAAAAACTCCCAGTTGCGGAGAATTTTGGGTAGGCATCGTGGGCGGCGACTTTGCAGAATATTGACAACGATCACAAAGATCAGCAGCACTACAAGTGGCACACCAACGCCCACCAAGACCTGCCAGCCAGCCAGGGACAAGCCGAACACAGTCAGAGGCATGACCAGGAAGCAGAGGAAGAGGTAGAGGCCAGCGAACCAGCGGTACTTAGCCGTGCGGTTACCCAGACCTCTGGCCAACCTGATGGGAATCCGCATGAAGGGGATGGGGTACCAGAGCAGGATCCCAAAGATGTTGAAGAAGAAGTGACAAAGTGCAATCTAAGACAAAGAAGACACAAAAGACAAGAATAACAGCGTTAAATCAACCTTGTATGTGGCAAAGCAAACCTAACATTAGCACAGTAGCTAACGTTTGAAGAACTTTAACTCATCACAATGTCCTTTAATAATGTGACAATTATTTGCAAGTTTTTAACAGCACGTTTATCAAATTTTCATCTAATATAACAAAGCCAAAACTTAAAGTCATGGTCAGGAACTTTTGGTGTTGGTGTAGGCTTAGATGAGCATCACTTTACTGAGCTCGTCCTGTAAATTGCAAGGTAGTATTCTATATAAAAAAAATGTCATCCTGCAACCACACACAGACTTTATTGGTCTTTTTACTTGCTGCACAGCTTGAGAGCCCGATTTGGTACTTTAATATTCAAGTCGCAGTTTTTATGTCTAAGTAGATGTGAGCATTTATGGCTAATGAAGACAGGGAATCAACATTGATAAGCATAAACAAACCCATGCACCACGGGTAAAGCATCTCACCTGTAAGGAGTTGGCTAGTGTTTCTCCAGGACTAGCCATAGCAGCAAGTATAGCAGTAGTTGTTGTGCCAATGTTTGACCCCAGAGTCAGAGGATAGGCTCTCTCCAGGCTAATTACGCCAATGCCTGGTAAAGGAGGATTTTTCAAATGTAAGTCATGATGATGAGGAGTAACGGAGGAAGTATTAGAAAAGACTTGGGTGAAGACTTACCAACAAGAGGAGTGATGGCTGATGTGAAGACAGAGCTGCTCTGGACAATAAATGTCATTCCTGCTCCCACAAGAATGGCGATGTATCCAGTTACCCAGCAGAAGGGGAAGGGGAAGTCTGAAATGAAGCAGATATGTTGTTGGTGAGCAATAAACCTAAAGAAGTGACTAGCAAGCGGGAGTTTTTATCAGCGCAGTGTCTGTGCCTGAGCTCTGTCTGTCTCAATCAGGACGAGCGGACCTGGAGACCAGTCAGAGACACCAGGAGAGGCTGTGCCTGTGTTGCTCATCAAGCATCACCACTGAATAGGATGTGCCGACTATCAAACAGGTTGCAGAGAGGATATGATGTCTTTCTTAGTACCTGTATTGAGCACCTTCTTGATGACCACAGCCACCTGCCCCTGCAGCATGGAGTTGAGCAGCTTGACGATGAGGATGAGGCAGGCGCAGAGGATGAGCAGAGACAGAGCCAGGAGGATGAGGCCTACAGCCAGGTCAGGGAGGCCAGAGTAAGCAAAGATATGATCGCCTGTAAAGAGATGATTTACATTAGAGTCCACTTTAGGGTTTGCATTGGCTAAAACAGCTTCGTGTGTGAGTCATTTTATAGCAGAGCTTTTTTGATAAATAGAGCTTGTAAAAGAGCATTTAATGGAGAAATAGTCTTTTCTTGTAGTTTAAAAGCAAACTAGGGATGTTTTTGTGTGATTTGAGAAAAAAAGCCTTTTCTAAGTCGTCTGTGAACAGAATACTTGGAGGTTATCCATTTTGTAGTGCTATAAAGACAAAACATGAATAGACCTATTGAGCAGGCAGACGGGTCAAGGGAGGAATTTGCTGAGTCACTACAAGGACTCAAAGGTATTCATTGTCCATCTATCAGAAGGTCTGCGTGAAGAGGGTTGCTGTGTCTCACATTTCACCGAGCTTCAGCGAATCAGGTAATCCTAATTGCTTTGTAAAGGTTTTTTTCCCTCCACTAATGGAAGCACACTTACATCTCTCCTCGTTTTCGGTCACACTCGAGTTCAGCTGGATCCAGGTCTCGTTTCCGCTCTCCCAGCAGTTACTACCAGCAGGGCAGTTATCCACTGTTTCATTCCAGAAAGTCTGAGAGGCAGAAAAAAAGCTTTAAAAACACAATGCAGAGATAATCTTTAAATGACCACACACCTTTCATGAAATAACACGCCTTCAAAGTATGATCTAACAACAGGATCACAGCGGTCAGTATAGAATGAGGACAATATCAGTTATTAAGAGACAAAAGCAGGTTAACCACAGGATTATCACATGTTTTCAGGGCTACTGTGCTATTTTCAGCATAAGGCAAAGTCATTATTTTTACCCGTGATGTGGCCCTTACCGTGTTTATACTTATTTTACACCATCTTTTGATCAGACTCTTGTTTCTGGCCTCTGGGTCACCCGTTGCAATGCCTGTGATCACAGATTTGTCCAACTAAACCAAGCAAAACACAGGAAAAAGGACTTTTTACATTAATAATGCAAGACGCTAGTAAAGCATGTGGTGTGCCTCAGGGATCATAACTAGGACCTTTTATACTTCTCATTTAAAATTCACATTTTTTTTGTAGATGTTAATGCATTTTCTTTCTCATTTCTTTTCAGATTCTTGTGTTTCCACCAGAAGCCGAGAAATACACTTTAAAAAATAGAGACTGAGTAAAAGTTCAAAGTTAGCTTAACAATGATGAGCTTCATATCACAATTACAATAATGCAATGTTTTTCGAGAAGCTTGAAATAAAACAACACCATCAGTCAAATTGAAGGGTGAAGCTACACATTATTTATAAACTTAACCAAAATTTACAATGAAATTGCACGCCATAATCCATTTCTGCCTGGTTTGTATGTGTGATTTGTTAGAGATTTGTCTTATTCTCAACTATAAAGAGACATTGTGCCAATAACTCATTGTTTATGTCTGTTCTCTGATGGAAATACGCCTCACTCTAATTTAACATAAACCTGAGTTAACTGTAAAAATGTTCATTCTTCTTATGTTTCTGGCTTTACCTGGATGATGGAGTCTGTCAGAGGGTCTGTGATGACGTTAAGCAATTCTGGGGCATCCTCTCCGGTCTGGATGTCAAAGGACTTGATTAAGAGGTCAGTGAGTTTGAACAGAACACCTGAGGCAGCTTCCAGGGGCAGAAGAACTAGCACAGAGAGCCAGTTAAAGAAGTCGTGGACGGTGGCACCAGCAAATGCCCTAGGAGTGAAGAAACACCGCAACAAACAAGAATCAAACACTGACTTTTGTGGTCTTTCATGATGTCACGGTGTTAACACTTCGGGGTCTTACTTACCTGCGGAACTCATTTCGGTCTCCTGCTTGCATCACGGCCACAATGGTGTTAGTGACAGATGTGCCGATGTTGGCACCCATGATGATTGGCACCGCAGACTCCACATCCAGCACTGAGGAAAACAGGTAACATTTAAATGAACACCGAGGCATCCTGCTAACGTATTCTGTAGACTGTTTCTGTAGCCTTACATGTTTGTGGACTGCTGCATTGAGACCTTTACAGGTATGTTTTTCTGTCTTTCTTTCTTTTTCTTTCTTGTGGGACAGAACTGACCAAAGTGGCAAAATTAGGTGAAAACTAGGAGAACCAGCAGTTGGGAAAAACTTACTGTTTAGCTTACTGTAATTCTAGCAATGTTAATTCACACTGCTTGGTAGCTATGACATTAATTGAGATGCCAATTAAGGCTGTCACCGTATACCAGTTATAATAATACTAAAATACTTAAATGTAAAGTAATACAGCAAATGGTTAATAGTGGGAGGCAGTAGTTGTTCTTTAAGCAGGTTTCCACCTGCCAAAAACAGGGAAGATGAACAACAGGCAGCAGCAGAGGAAGGCTACCTGCACCATGTATTGGCTGAAACCACCTGCTCATCAAATCTAAGTTTTCCATAAATATCATGATCATAGATTTGTTCGGAATTTTTTTGGGCCACAGTTTTGGGAAGTTGAAAATTGTTACAGCCCTACTGCTAATTTGGTGAGCAACAACATTTGCATTAAACTTAAGGTAGTTACATGGTGAAAAGCAAACATCTCTGCTTCTTAGTGTCTTTGCTACAACTGAACAACATTTTAAGGTTACTTGGGGAGGAGGTTCATTGATAATTACAAGGTAGCTTTAATTTGCTTGGAGTACAAAATCATAGCCTGTCTCTCAAAAAAATATCATATTGTTAACAGAAAGATAAAGACTTGAAACTAGTGATTGTGAGTATTTTGGCTTTCCGAAAAGGATTGGTGCGTTATTTTTGATGCAGCCTGCACAAATCAACATTAATGTGATGATGCCTGCGGTGCACCAGATTAATGTGCTGTGCTTAGTAAGAGACACAGAGCAATGCCACATTAGTTTATTTATGGCAGAGGGACAAAACTGCAAAGTGTTGCATCCAAAGCAAAAAAGTGAGTTTAGTCAGCAGTTTGGGAGCAGTTTGGATTCACCAAGAACAAGAGAGTTATCTAAGGTCACACGATCATACGTCTGCAAAACCTGCTGTACAAAACTTACAGCTAGAAGGTCAAATGCATCAAACTTAATGCAGCATCTGTACTAAGCAGAAGTACAGGTTATGTATAATAACTGAGTGGAGTCACATTAGATCAAAGCTACTCAATGAACAGTTAGTTATGGAGTTAAATATGTTGGTTACAAACAATGGAACAGCAGGTAAAGTCGGGCTTACGATGCAAAGTAAATAAATGCAACACAACTACAAAGTGGCATAGTGCATTAAATATTAGTCTTGTTGTGAAATTAATCCATAATAGACTAGACTAAAACAGACCCGTCAAAGTCTGAAAGTGTTGCATCTCTTCTTTGCACTTACTTCACCTGTGTAGCCACAGAGCTAGGCCCACCATAAATGCACAGTCTTTGTTATGAGCATGAATCTTCATAATGCAGTCGTGTATCTACTCACATCCAGAGGACACCATGCTGACCACAATAGATGAGGAGGTGCTGGAGCTCTGCACCAACACGGTGACTAATACCCCGATCACCAGGCCGGCCACAGGGTTGGACAACACATAATTGTCCTGGAAGATGTCACCAGCAGCTTTGCCTGTTCACAAAAACACCCACGGGTCAAAAACACTCTGCACACATTACATAAGCTGTACTGCCATGGACTTTGTAAACAAACCATGTGCTGCTTTAGGCCATGATAAAGATCCAGGGTTAAGAGTACGTTTCTGTGTTTTTTTTTTTTTTTACCTCCAACAAGCTGGAAAGCAGAGCTGAGGACGTCCAGAGAGCAGATAAACAGGTAGAGGAAGCTGAGCAGCAAGACCAGCTTCATAATCCCAGTCAGAACTCTCATAATCTTCCCCTTTGTGTCCAAATCTGTGGAGGGAAACAAAACCCCAAATCAGAGTCTGGTTGCGATAAAGAACGCACACTGTATTGTAAGAATGGAGGTGATGTCTCACCTGACCACTTCACCCCTGTGTCTTTGAGTGCAGGGAGATCCCATGGATCATTTGCATCATTGTCCTCATCCACCAGGTCCACAGTGGAGTACGCTGACGGGATGGCTAGATCTTTAGTGGAGGTGTTGTCATCTAATCAAGATCACACGAGAAGAAAAGGGTTAAGAGATGAGAAGTAACTTGACAAGTCTAAAGAGGTTTAAAAGGACTGAACGTACCGAGCCTGGGGGAGGAAACCGTCCCCACTTCTGGTTTTGGAGCCATGACTGTATAAGGGACAGAGAGATCCAACATGTTAGTAGAGACATTTAATAAGATTTTAAAAATCACAATTTGTCTTATTTATTACCAAAAATCTTTTGAACTCATGTTGTTTGTTTTTAATTTCCTTGAGGGAACCTCCTCACAAGGATAAATAAAGTGGTATCTCATCTCATCTATCTAAATGATGTCCATGTCTAAGCTGTTTGAAGTAAACAGGCATTTCTATGACAGCTCTTTCATCAGTTTTTATAGCACACAAAAACCCGCACTGACCAAACTTGATCATCTTTATGGTTACCAGAACTAAACCGCCCAAATAAAAAGTTGAAGCATAAAAAAACTACACATATTTTTGTTTCCATTATGTAAATTTAGCTGGAAAAGATTATATACATTTATGTGATATGTTTCACTGTTAAAGCAGCATCTGGTATTGGCTGAAATTTTGTCCATATCTAGGGTTTTAACACAAACTTGCCTTTCAAAAACAAACACACAAAAGTACCAAAAATCCACTTGACAGTTTTCTAATATTTTAAAACTAAAACCAGCCTGAACTTGAGCATCTTAGATACAGTGATTTAATTCCACATATATTTGTACAACAGCCTTAACATGAAACATTTCACACTGAGAGCATCCAAAATTTTGCCATCTAAAGACATCAGCTAAAAGTAAAAGCTTAAGTTTAAAATGATCACAGGAAAGACATGTTTGTAAGTTCTGAAGTCAGATAAACAAAATGGACTATTAAATAATGAGCCTGGACCACTCTCACAAAGAAGGATATTACCTGAAATTTGACACAGTAAGTTTTCATGTCATAAAGCATTTTCTTAACTTAAAAGACTGTCACTCATCTGAAATAAACATAGAAAGGCAACTGGACACATGCTGTGTTACTTCAACATCTTTTTCAAAATATTTTAGTCCCCAAATAATCTGTATATACCGGCTATTTTTAACTCTACAACAATCTGTACAGTTTGAATGTGTCCATGTCAGGAGTACCCAGGCTGACCTGAACCTCGGGAATTAAAACACACTTGCAGAAAACTTTACTTTCTACTTTATGTCAGACGAGCTGGTTTACTATTGCAATACTGCTGTCATGATTTCAAGTCAGTGAATTCATTAGTTGAAAAATAAGAAGGTGCTGCTTTAATGCTATCGTGACAGCTGACTGTCAAGTGAGAATAATTTCTAATATCTACTCTGAAAAAACATATATTTCAAGACAAATATTTCTGTCCCCATCTCATTTACTTGATGTCACACCAAGAACTGTAAGTTCTCACTATTTGTGCTATAACTTTTGAATACCTGGTTAAACTGCATCATTTGCACTTTCTGCTTGGATTATTTCACTTTTATGATGCCACTCCACTTTTATAGTAATCAATCTTATTTTTATGCATCTTATAAAAGCTACTTAATTGTTGCTGGTCCAACATTTTTTTCAAAGTTTATTTCTGATCTGATATTGAGGAGGGGGAAAAAGAAAGAAACGTTAAGTAATTTTATACTGACAACAATCTGCCCTGACCAAATCTCCTCAACCAAACAAGATAAAGAGGATGCATCTCTTTTCTGCCATGCTGTCACTTCAAATGAATCAAGAATTCACGTAAACTCGTATTGATATAATTCAGTAACAGCCTAGGAGATGGAGTTCTGGAGCAAAAGTTGGTGTTAAAGGAAATCGCGTCGATTTCTCTCACCCTTTCAAAATAAACTAACTTTGCTAAAGGCATTAATTTTGGTCCAAAAACAGTTGCTCTAACAGTAATTTAAGGGTGAATAAACGTATGACACAACGATATAACAGCATCTAAATCAATCAGATTAATCAGATTGATTTCATACGTCTGTATACATAACGAAAACGCGCTTACAAAAAGCCTGGCATCGCTAACAAGGATCTATGATGGGATAATAAGTCTAACTTTTTTGTTCTGATCTCTGCCCTCCGGATCCTGTGGACCTGTTTCACGGATTTCCCGGTCTGCGTTAGCGTCTCGCTGTTTTTTCAGCCCATGTGGTCTCTCTCTCTCTCTCTCACTCTCTCTCTCTCTCTCTCCATCGTGCGGAGTGGTAGATGAATACGCACCTGCTGCAGCGGAGCTCTGGGGTGAGTGGGTGAGGCTTCACCTGGGTTACCTGTTACTCTTGTCCAGTCTGAGGGCTCCTTTTATAGCCGCTACTACGCACACACACTCAAACACACACACACACACACACACACACACACACACACACACACACACACACACACACACACTGCTCTCAGTTCAAAGGTCGTGCACACGTGCAGAGTGCAGGTGGCTGCAAGGTGAGTCTGTATGTGGGGCACACAGATGACATGATTCTCTGGACTGTGAGAGATTATACTCTGGATTGAGAAGTGTAAAATGTTTCAAATATATGAAAAAAACACACACACTGACACGCACACTCGTGATCGTTTTTCTTCCATTTCACAGTAATAACAAGTTGGTCATTACTAAAATAGAATTTACCTGTATGAAAAACTCCCCAGTCTTAGTGAGCGCCTGTTTACAGGCTTTAGTCCAAGCCACAGGTAGAGTAAGAGTGGGTGATGTCAAACTCAAGTCAAGGAAAACGCCCCCTAGTGGTTGTTATTGAAACACCAGTATTCAGATGCAGCCCTGGTGTTGGTTGTAGTCAGGAGGGATGGTATTGCACATGTTGAGTAGAAGGGAAAACAACATAAGCATTTTTAATTCTGCTGCCTTTTACGAGAGCATTTTCTTGTAATAGACTGAATAATTTAAGGACTTAAAAAAGTAAGAACATATAAGAGAATATGGTCCATACAAAAACCTTGATTTCTGATCAATCCCTTTAGTTCTTTTCTTTACAAAATTGTTGATTTTTTTTTTTTTTTTTTGAAGTTAAAGGCAAAACACATAGTTCATTTACAGTAAAATCATGGTAAAGGCATGTCTGTGTGCAGCAGTTGTTTTTTTTTTTTTTTTTCTTTCCAGTTTTCAGAGAATTTTTTTTAATATTGCAACTTTGTGATAACATTTTACATAATGTGCACAGGGATCCAAAAAACACTGTGGCACAAAACACATGTCCAAAGCAACCAAAACCCAATTCATTGACTTTAAGAAACAGCATTTGACTGCCAAATCTTACTGCACAACAAGACGCTGCAATCTTGCTTGTTTACAACCAGAGAGTAGAGCATGACAGTATCAAAGCAGGAGTCATCGACCAGAGCTAGCTGCAAGTGGCTGCGCAACAGCTTGGACACAACATATCACAAATATTGTCATTTAATTTAATATGATTGTTAAACCCTCTCGTTTTTCTGATGCTGAGTAATAGGAGTAACTGTTAGGTTGTCTCGTCAAATGAAGGCAAACCCAGCTTGTATATTGATGTGAGATATTAATGTCTATGTTTTGTCTTTTGCCAGAAACAACTTTCGTCTGTCTCTTCAAAGTCACTAGACCTATTTATAAATGATGTACTTTTACCTCAGACAACATGAGAATTATGGCTCTATAGTTGCAGACTGGAGTTATGTTCTGAGTACCATATCTAAGTACATTTTTTTTGGGTATATGTACTTCAGTTTAATTTTTAGGAAAAAATTTACTTCACTGTGTTTAAAAATAGATACCCTACATTTTACCATGTTATGTTTCTAAAGCTCTCCTTATTACTTGCTACTTTTAGCTCTGAAATCAGACGGTGAATTTCCTTCTTCTTTTTTTTTTTTTTTTTTTTTTTTTTTAATTGCCATGTCCTGAGTTCATGTTTGAGGTTAAACGCAGAAGAATGATCAGTATGATATTCATAGTTTGCTCTGTTCACAGGGCACAAACTCTATCAAAGCCTCCTAAAATTCACTGTCCAACAAACAAAAGCATGTGGTATGTAGGTATGTTGCAAGATATCTGATTTATTCCAGATTAGTAGTCGAGTAATTACTGTTTTTGAGTGATGCCTATAATGAGACATACTGCACTCTTAAAAGGTTGGGTTAAAAACAACCCAATTTGGGTAGTTTCCCAATCCAGCGTTGGTTAACTATTGGACAGAACAAATGATGGGTTAATTTTACCCAACTAATTGGATTGGTTCACTTGACCCAACAATTGGATTGTTTAAACCCAGCATTTGGGTTGTTAATATTGAACATAATATTAAATTACATTAATGCATCAGATATTATACAGCACTTTATCAGAGCACTTTACATTGGAGACATCATTTATTCAGAATACCTAACTCCATAAAAATAACCTAAATAAATTGACCAACAGGCTCGACCTAGTGATTGGGTTGAAAAAAAACAACTCAGCATTTTTTTGTGTGTGATCTAAAATACAAAAAAATCTGAAATACATAGCTGTCTTAGCTAGTAGCATGTTTTGATGGAGTTAAATTTCTTCTCTAAGGCCTTGTGAAGGTGGATGCTGATATGCCTCTGATTATTTCAAATTGCCAATAATCAGCCAGATTCAATGATAAACATTAACAATCAGGTTATCTATGCATGTAGTTACTTTTAGTTGCCACTTTATTCTCCGGTCTGTTGGTCCAATCATCAAATTATAGATTTGCTTAATGACTTTCTGTTGTGTTGTTTCATAAATACTGGTCCAAGGTAGGAGCTGCAAATGGGGATGTTCTCTGAATAAACACATGAACATTTGCAAACTTCTGGCTGCACTCATGAGTTGCAAAAATAGGATGTTTTTAGATCCTTATTTTAAAAAGTAGTTTTAATTCGGAGGTATTTTTGCTTCAAGTAAGAGTTTCACAGGGGAACTTCCTCTTGGAGTAATTTTTGACCAGGGGTATATTGACTCTTGTCACAAGATCGTGGACTTTGTCCACTGTTGTGCATCGCAGGTCTCCAGAGGCATTCATCATTTGTTCATTGCTGAGCTTTGTCCTCTGAACTTATGATTTAAAAAGCAAAGTCATACAATAACAGAGACACACTCAGTGGTCAAGGC